TTGCTGGATTGTATGCCCCAGCAACCCTAGCCATCACAGCCAATGGTGAAGAATTTTGGAAGCTGCAATGCAATTGTATCTGGAGCATCAAATCCTTCTGAAACTTTTCATGCACCTTTCTTTAGGAACCACTGGCACTATGGCACCTTTCAGTCTCTTCAGTCCTTATCATCTTTCTCGAAACTCATGGGTGCAAATGCCCCAGTTCCAGGATCATTTTCAAGATTTTGGAACTGGTGATCTGAAGTTTGATATAAATACAATAGGTCTTTTATAGATATTATAGACAGATATCACCACAAAATGCTTAATAGGTTGTCTGGGTCCTACTACCAACGAGGCATCATATGTATTTGGCAAGTGGTGAGGTCAACTGACAGTATTTTAACTACTCTTTTGTTCTGATTTGCCAACACAGGCCATCCTATGTGATAGCTGACAAACTGTGCCATCAAAAGATCACCAGCAACACCATTTGAGAGTGAGGATTCTTCTTCCCTTCAGTTCTGGATGGGAAGAAGACATTCTATCCTGCATAATAGCAGGACTCTATGGTTTACGAGAGTGGTCTGGAGCCCTCCTGAATAACTGCTATCCATTTTTGCTAGTATCTCCATGGCTTGACACAATTCTGGAAAGCTCAATGAGCTCCCCTCAACATGATCTGGCGGCTGATTTAATTTTGAATATTGTTCCTTCCACAGCACAGAATAACATCCTTGCAGAATTTTTTGTCTCATGAAAAAGGGTGTTGTCTGCTCCTATTAATAATTTCTAATATTTGGAGCAAAACTAGAGTTACATAGTGTCCTCCTCCTATCTGACCCATTTTGTTTCATGCTTCTTAAACTGGCTCTGATGGAGCTGTGTTTATAATGTTACTGTCACTGCTTTGCTTTTGCCATAGGAAACAAAGTTGAGTTGCAGTGGTCTAATACTGGCATCATGTAAAGTTAAAGTTACTACTTCATCACATTGACTTTGGGAAGCATCCTAGGTTGCTTCAAGGATGCTTCTTTGATGGAGCCTGATGGAGCCCATCATATCATTTAAGACTACTTCTAATGGTGCTTGGTAAAGGAAGCATCCTGGCAGCATGCTGCACTGGAGGCCTCCCATATTCTCACTTAAAAGAAGGGGGGAGGAATCTGGGTGACAACACTTTCTCCCATGTGATAGGGGAAGTGGTGCAGCAGGCAATGTGGGGTGCAGGGAAATTGTTTTCCCTGCTGCCTCATGGATTCACCACATTGCATGGCACATCTCTCAGGACCTCAGTGACCTCCTAACTTATTTTAGTCAAAATCCAGTTTTATTTATGACTCCATATGGAGGTCCTTATATGACCTCTGAAAGGTGCCAGTATCCAGATTACAGAAAATTATACAGATCTGCTCTATAGCACTGCTTCTTAAGCTGTAGGACCCAACCCCAAATGGGGTCTCCTTAGCTCAATGTTAAGGTCCCCAAAAATGGCAGCAGTTTAAAAAAAACAGACCAGAGTGGCTATTTTAGACATTTACATGAATCTGTTGTACAGTGTTTACAGTGGACTCTGCAGAAGATGCTTCAGCTGTACTTCATAAAAAGGGAAACTGGCCTATTTAGTAAGATTTGCAAATGCTGATTTGTTTTCAATAAATGTTTGATTTTTATACCTGTTTTATATACCGATATACTGAGACACAAAAATATTTATTTGTCCAAAAGGGGTCAAGAGTGGAAAAGTTTAAAGAAGCTCTGCGCTAGAGTACACATTTTAGAGTCAGTGCTGAACCCTGATGTTGCTGAGATGGTGCATTCTTTGACTATTTTCTTGTCTTGCATGAAGTTTTGAGTTTGTTTTTTAAAAAACACATGACACATAAAATTCAATAATTATGGGTTAGGGCCTTAGCATGGAAAGAGGTGAACCAATCCCCACTAAGCTGACTCTTTTATTGATATCCCACCACCACACACATGGTCTCTTCACACGAACCACTGGAATAGCTGAGCATCAGCACAGATCCTGGTAGCACCCAACTGGGGGTGTGGGACCTGTTGTGCTATGCCCCGCACCATCCTGACTTCCCCCCTACCTCATCATATGGGGGGAAGCTTCAGTAAGCCAACTCAACCCACCTTTCCCTATGGAGATGGCATGGTCTTTTGGCACTTTTACCCCAAAGCCACCCAGGAAGTACTTTTTTCCCATGTGTGATGTGGGCCCACAGGCTCCATAGTGAAACTGCAAAAAAACAAAACAAAACAAAACCTGCCACCATCACCGATTTTTAGCCTGCGTGAAGAGGTCCAAAGAGAGTTAACTGTGGAGAGGAAAACAGAAGACTACAGATGCCCTTGCCTATGGTATGCTGAGTTGTTTCCTTGGGATTAATAACAGTGCTGGAGTGAAAAGGCTGCACTGGTGAATGCAGACAAAGCCATTGCCTTCATCTTCCTGTTGCAGCCACAGTAAATGCCCGCCCAGTTAATACTTGTACAAAGACAGCATATCACAGACTGCCTACATAACAAGTAATATGAAGGTAGATGATAATTGGGAGATTCCAATTGTCCAGTTTACAGAATCCTGCTTAATGATTTGTCTGCTGAGGTTACACCAAGGAACACTTTATTAAAATGGCTCATTTTGCTGAAGAATTAATGGGATATGTGAACCACAACACTCTGTAGTTATATTTCCCAGAAGTATCGTGGATATACCAGAAAGTTTCAGATGAGCAATTTCTTGATTGTACTTGCTAACTAGAATGTTTCTGAGAATGATTTCAGATCTTCAAACACTACTGAACACAACTCCCTTAATGACATTTACTCGTCTTAAGCAAATGTAAGCTTTACATTTCATCAAGACATGTTCATTATTCTTTTTTGCAGTTCTAAGGATTGTGATGTGGAGGGATGGGTGTGATGTTTTGTGGTGTGTGCTGGGGAAGGCATTTAATTTCATTGCGCAATAGCACAATGACAATAAAGCTATTCTAATTCTTGTTCTACAAACGGAACTCTTGGCATTAGGATAATCCTAAAACAAGTTCGTAAATTTCCTCATATTTTCATTCCTTAGAATGTGAATGCATTAATGTAAGACATATTAGATATATAACATTCTGTCTCATATAAAGAAAAGTCCAATAAAATTGATTCATAGTCTATATAAGATCATTGTGCTCTCAGAAAGTGTGTTACTTAGTTAATACCTTATGCAATATATTTGCATAACATTTAACAACTGTCTAATTCAGCACAGTCTGGTTCAAAAATAAACATAAATTTTCCACTGTTTAAATAATACAATCTTAGTTGGAAGAAGAACAGATTAGCTGATCACATATTTCTTTAAACTTTAATTCTGCTGAAAAAGACACATAGTTACTATTTTCTTGTTTATAATAACACACCAAAGGACCTTCTCATCCATGCTACTGTTGCTTTTACTAAATTAACATTTTAATTTTAATGAATTATTGATAATACCAAACTGTGTTGGTTCCTGTGATTTCCACAGAAATGACAAACGCCAGTGTTGAAGTTGAAGTCAATCTCAGGAATACCCAACCAAGTATTTAAAGACTGGGAAGTACACAAGAAACCACTGCTGTAGTGTGAAACCTTTATTTTATCCATTTGTGGTTTGCTTTCAATTAACCTTTAATTCCACAACTGTGTTCATTCAAATCATAATGAAGATATTCTTCCCTAAAAATGCAAATTAGATTTCAGCTGCTCCCAATTTGATGTTCTTCTCCCTATCTCATTTTCTATTTTTGCAGTGGTTGACTTTGGTATTGTTACTGGCGGTAATCTGAAGAACCCTAAAGAGCTATGTGCATTTGTGTTGGAGATTTCCCATGAAACACCAGGGAACTGTTGAATAGAATTGTTTGCAACTGGTTCCATATGCAGAGTGAGTGTGTAAAGTATATATAGGTGTGAGCAGAGAGGTTTGTTTCCTCTCCATTTTATTGCCCTATTAACTTTTTCCAATGCAAGTTATAAAGGCTCATTTGCTGCCTTTCATAAGTTTAGTTTGCATTCCAGAAAGGATCTGAATATGATTGTTTACTGAATAGCTGATTGAAACCATTTGCCTGTATTTCACGATGACTAATGAATCTATATGTTTTAAAAGCAGAAAGTATTTTTTTGAAGGCACTTTTATAGATGGAGGAAAATAAAATGAAAAATGTCTATGGATTCCTTCCAAGGCCACATTTACTTGCCAATCAAACTACAGCAAGAATGAAGGCAGTTGCTCTTTTACAGTAATCTGTGACAAACCCTCATTTCTGATGAGCTGAGGTCTATAGGCAGAGCTTTTTCTCAGGCGCATTTGTGGAAATCCTGATGACAAGTCCGTACTGCAAAGATATAACTAGCTGAGGAGCAGATCACAAGCAAGTACTATATATCCTAGCTTTCCTTGTTTTCTAAAATATAGATTGGTAATTCTTCCTCAACATACATATATGCTATAAAAATTCTCTGTTTAAACATCTGGTCAAGAAAAGCTAGAGACACAATTATCAGAGACTGAAGATTTCCTTCAATGCTTTTTAAATCCTTGTGTTGTCCCTGCTGCTTTATTCTCTGTTCTCGATTTGCTTTGTTGAGCATCTCTGAACAAAATCCAAATGCAAATATACACTTAAACTGCTGCTTGAACTCCGATTGCTCTTGCTTCTCTACCTCCTAGCTCTAAACATCTATGTTTAATTTTCTGTGCCAGAATTTATAAAGGATTTTTAAAGTCAAAGCAACTGCCTCCAACCTCCTTTAACTAAGCCCCAGTTTCCTTCCCCAAATATCTCACCTCTCGCATTCATTTCTCATGCCTGTCCCCCAAATAGGTCTTCTACTCATGGCTCTGAATCCAGTATTTGTGTTTCTCAAGCCATTCTCAAGCCAACCCAATGGAGGAAAACATTTTATGTCAAGCTTTCACAGTTTTCCTGGCCAATTCCCAATTTTCCAGAGGTTTCCCACAAACTCACCTCTACCAGTGCTGTAATGCTGTAGTTTATCACTGTATACTGCCTCTTTGCTGTATGCTCGCTTCCTAAGAAAATGAAAAGTATACACTAGTTCAATCAATGCCTGAGCAATACGTTTTTACATAAGTCTTTTTGCTGTGGGGAAAAATATAAACCTTGACAACTCTGTAATGTATCCTGAGGTGGTATTGGTTGACAGAGCTTTTCTAGCAGCCTAGTAACTAAAAGTGCAATCCAATATGTATTTTCCTGAAGCAGAAACTGAGGGTGCACCTACACTGCAGAATTAATGCAGTCTAATGCCATTTTAACTACCATGGTTCAATGGTATGGAATCCTAAGGATTGTAGTTTTGCAAGGCAGTGGGACTCTAGCAGAAACCAAGTTGCAAATATACATTTTTATTTTATTTTTGCTTTTTGATTATTTAAAATCTCTCACCTAGGAATATACATTTGTCATTGGTGTCTGGGCAAATTTGTGGCACAGATTTCTGCAAATGCTATGAAATAAAAGTGCAGAAGAGGGAGGAAAATTTTCAAACTACTGTTTAAGTACCCCAGATATATGATGTCTTTCAAAAACATGGTTGGGCACAGGTGAGACAATGAAGAACACAAAGACAAATCAGTCTGGTTCTATTAATTCCACCATGATAACCAGGTATAAGCTGAACATACCACAAATTTAATCCTCCCCAGATAATCCTGGAGAGGGCTGTGTGAATCAAAAATCAAACACCAAAGCTGAAGAATCAGCAGGTTTATGGAGAAATTTTTCAGAACATCAAATGCAGAGATTCATATAGTGTGTGTTGTGATTTTGTGAAATGTTTTTTTTAAAAAAATTAAAAACATAATTTGTTGCTGCTACTTTAAATTTGCTCCATGAAGAATAATACTTCCATAATACATTGCAATAACACCATCATGACACATGAAGCAGAAATGTTTTAGGGATAATACATAGTTCTCAATGAAATAGTAATTATGGGCCGTTTTGCACTACACACTTATACTGCCATGATTCCACTATAACTGCCATGACAACATTACACAGGATCCTAGAATTTGAAGTTTAAGAAGCCTCATCAAATGGCAAAATACAGATTTTCATAGGATGTTGCAAAGGCATTTAGAGAAGATTTATAATGCTCTAGTTGTGTAATGTGAAAGGGTCTTTATTTCATTTTTGTAAATGTTGTTTCAGGCTCATTACCTCCCAAAGTGATATTAACTGGTAATGTGGTTTGTCCAAGCTTTGGATTTTTCATGACGAGAGAATACTAATAAGACTCTGTCCCACATTCTTGTCCTTGTCCTTCATAAACAAGGCATGCCTTCAACAAAATTTAAACCAAATTTTCATCAACATCTTTTGTGACTCACAGGCTTTTTCCCACCAGAGAATGCATTGCACTCCTCCATTCAGTTCAAATATATGTATTTGCACAATCTGGTCCATGAAATGAAAAGGAAAAGCTATATTTTATAATGGTACCTGCTGCAAACAATTGAAATAGCCACCAAAGAGACAATAAAGACGACCCCTGCCGCTGCAGATCCAGCAATCAATGGCAGTTGTTCTCTCAATTCTGACTTGTAGTCATCTAGAAAAGAAAAAAAAGTGTGTAATTTTCTGGTCTGCTCATACAGCCTTTCATAGCTAATAGTAAACTTCCTTTAAAAAAATTGTATCCTATGGCTCCTTCCTAGAATTCAGAGTTGTGCACAGGTGATTTGCTCCAGAATACAAGTTCCTTAGATGAATAAAACCTAGGGGCTTTTTTATATTGGTCCCAAATTTCTGTTTCAGTGAGAAGTCACTTCTGAATATCTGGTTGATATCATGGTATAAAACCAGTTTTATGCCACAGTAGGGGAACCTGGGGAATGATTTGGAGTTTCAGCAAAACTCCAGAGCATCTCTGCACTCCGGGGTAGTGTGAACAACTAGAATGGCTCTAAACCAGGCATCCTGAAATAGCATCCCTCCAGCTGTTTGAGCCTCCAACTCCCAGAATTCCTGACCATTGAACAATCTGGCAAGAGCTTCTGGGAGTTGAAGGACAAAACAACTGGAGGGACACAATTTGAGGATGCCTGCTCTAAATCAAATCAATCTACTGTCCACACAGCCAGGTGCCTTCTTCTCCTTGCTCATGTAAAAAGTGCTTCGTTTGTGTGTTCCTGCATGGCAGGTGGTTGGACTGGTTGGCCCTTGTAGTCTATTCTTTCTGTATTTTAATTTATTATGATTTTATGATGTTTTTAGTTGTGTTTGTGCATTGAATTTCTGCTGTTAGCCAGTCTGAGTCCCTCCACAGAGGTAGAGAAGATCAGGATATAAAAGTTTTAAATAAATAAATAAATATTCCAACAGTAAGATTCTATGATGTCAGCAAAGGCACAAATCAATGGCCAGGAACTCTCTGGAACTCCTGGCCAGGTGCTACAGTAGGCGAAACAATAATGCATGTATGGGCGACCATTCAGCAGGACTGAACCAGGTTTGGTCTGACTAGACGGTTTGGGTTCTGCCATCGCTGCATCTTGTGACCAAGTTACCATTCACTACCATAACAGAATGGATAAGCAATTGCAATTTAAAAAAAAACAAGGAAGTCTTAATGCAGACACAAATTAAAGTCTCTTATAAAAGTCCCAAAAGAAACAGAAGACAATGGGCAAAGATCACAAAGTCCTTAGCAGCAGACACAAAGCAGATTCAGTCAGCAACAGAGTCGTTGTTACCAGTGAAAGCTGACTGCTCCTGCTTCTGATTTATACCCCACGCAGGGTGTCTCCTAATTAGCTCAGTGTTTTTTTTAGCAGCTATTTGAGCTGAACGGTGTCTGTGCTCTGTCTCCCTTCGTCTCTCTAAAAATGTAGGCACTTGCAAAGCCTCATCATCTGATTCTTCTTCTCCCTAAAATTCCTGAGCACTTCCCTGCTCCCCTTCCTCCTCCAAAGATGAGGAATCCCTAACAGGTATCTCAAATCTTGCAAAGGCCTGTGTAACTCAAAACCCAGTTTGATGGGAATAGTATGGTGAGGAACAGTCTGCAGTGTGGAACAACCTGGAAAGAGTTTCAGATTGATGTATTCTGATTTTTTCATGCACTGATCCTCTTGCTTTCTCAGAAGACCTGTTTTCTTGTCTGTTTTGGCAAAATTTTGTTTTATGTTCAGTCTGAACTGACAAATCTATGGTTTCCACTTGCCCTGAAACCTAAGATGAAACCCTAGAAAATAACATCCTTTGACCACCTTCATGCAGCGCAGAGACAAATGGCATTATCTCTTAGTATTTGTACAATCCCTACACAACAGTCCTCTAGACAAAATCAGTTAACAAATTAATTTAACATCATTTCTCATCTTTTGATAATTCTGCCACTAATGCCTAACTGCTAAAATAATTTGTACAAACAGAAATATTTCACACCTCCTTTTAATTTTCATAGTCTCCTTTGCAGCTAATTATAGACAAGCTGCATTATCTCCTCCCTGATGCCTAAATCCTGGGCAAATTCTCATCTAACAATCAATTATTATTTAATAATACACAATATCTATTCTTGTTGAAATTTCAATTAGCTGTTTATATTTCAGGCAGAGAATCATTCTTGGCTTTCTAATTGCAAATATTAGAGAAACATATTTCTAAAGATATCCCTCTCTTCAGTCAGTACTGCTTAAAAGAAACCTATGATGATAAAAAAAATTAAAAATGCAAAAATCCTGACAGCTTTCTTAGCCCATATTTAATTTTATTTTTCTCCCTTGTTTCAAATTTCCAGTGGAGTGACTTCAGATAGCCGAAGGGTTCCAGGGCAAGTACTCTTATACCTGGAGTATGGCCAGCTACATCATCCCCATCAATAGTTTTACAATACATCAATCTGAAATATGTAGCAAATTATGTTGCATAGATGTATATTACTTCTAAAATAAATTTGGCTCATCATTATCCTTTCTCTTTTTCAAGGTGACTATGCCTAGCAAGAGGTGAGGGATGTGGAAACTGGTCAGACTGCCCTTTTCATAGGGGCACTATCGATGCGTGCATTTAACACTGTAGAATTAATGTAATTTGACATAATTTCTAATTGTCATGGAATCACTGGTTGTAGTTTTTACAGGATATCTAGCCTTTTGGGACAATAAGTTCTAGTACCTCACCAAACACTGGGATTTGCTCTAACTCTGACATTTACAAAGATTCTTGAATTTCACAAAGCAGATCCATTGAAATATTTTAGCATATAGGTAATTTTATAATTCTTACTATTTTTACTATTTATTACTTTTTATTATTTGAATTTTATTATTATAATTTACTTCATTAAACAAACATTTATTATAATGAATTCATCATGAGACTTATTTCTTGAACATATTTTTCCTGATTTTTAATATCTTCAATAACTAAAATTATAAGAATAAAATTTGAAAGTAAAAGTAGCATTGTCTTTGTGCAAAGCCCAGGAATATTAAATAATATTTATTTTAGGCATAGGGTGGTTTCTATATGGCCCAGACAAGCAAATTACAACTCACAGTGCTTTATTTTGTATTTTTCTTCTTCTGAGAAGGTGCAATCAATTATGTTTTATTGCTAATAGCAAAAGTACAGTATCAATCATTTGAAAAAAAAAGTTGGCCTCAACTGTTAACCACAGGTGAGATTAAGTTTTCTTGTATGCACTTTTGTTTGTTGTTGATTGCTAATGGTTATGCAATTGTGTGAAAATACATTGATAGTCTTCATAAAACCTTAGCGTGTGTTGGTTTGTCTTTACTTTATCTTCAGCCCAAAAGAATATCTGATTACTTAACACAAAGTAATTCTAAAATCTAGAAAGTAAATGATTAGCCCAAAGGAACTTCTAATTTAGTTTATATATATCTACTTTTATCCTGAGACAGGACCTGGGAGAACACATTTGAACTTGTACAATCAGAAGACATTAGCAAAAGGGATGAGGTCCCAAATAATCACTTTATTATGTTTTTTTAAAACTTTAACATTCTATTTATCTTTTTTTGCATGCTGAGTATTAACCAATAAGAATGACATCCTACACTTCATTAAAATAGTAATCTTCTGCTGTATACAATATTAGCTGCTACCAAAAGCAGAATAGGTGAACTACTGCTGTGATACAGAAAGTCTATTCTTAGGTCTCACAGAACCCATTTGAATGCAGAAAGGTTTATAAAAAACATTTAAATGGTCAGGATAAAAACAAAGATAAGAGATTTCATCCAGATTAGTCCTCCAGCTGGTAATTAATCAAACATCTCTGTAAATCACCTGGCTTTTGCTTTGGTACCCCACTGGGAGGCCAGGGTTTGAAGAGACAAGTTGATTTAATCCAATTATAGCTTGGAGGTTTGACAAAGAAAGGAGCTTCTTTCTCTCTTACTCACTAGCTTTTCCTCTCCTTCCTGCTGTTCCTCCCACCCCCTTTGTTGTCACAGACACACTCACCATCCGTCAGTGTTTGGAAGCACATTTTCCCACTATATTTCCCATAGCCAGCAACAGTCCGGGCTCGCACCTGTACCACGTATACCATTCCTGGTCTCAGCCCATCAATCCTTGCGGTGTTGGTCTGGCTCTTGGCCATGGAGGAATTGTACTCACTATGGTCCTTCAGGGAACAGCAAATAAAAGACAAAAGACAAAAATATTTAATTAAAAGGAAGAATCACTGTGTTTCCAAGTTCTACTCATCCCTGGCCCACGCTGTTAGGTCAACCACACTGCTGTGGCAATGGAAAGCAATATATGACATATTCCTAGCTTTTCCTTTTGACATGACCAAGGAATATGTGAGCAGTGACAAGTTATGAGCTTCTCATCTAGCCTAGTGAAACAGATGTGGTTGAATGATAATGGCAAGAGTTGATAAAGTAAGGGTTTCAATAGACACTTGGTATTTGCTGGGGTTTGCTACCAGGACCACCTGAGGATACCAGCAATCATGGATCCTCAAGTCTGATTATATATAATGGCATAGGAAAATGCAGCGCCTTGTATAAATGGTAAAATCACAGTTTACTTTGAGGTTTACAGAGTTACAGGGTTATCAGCACCAATTTAAGGTGAATTTGGAGGCCAAAACCTTACCTTCTAGGCAAGGGGATGGCCAGACACCCACCCATGATGAACTAGGTCAGCATAGATGGGCATAGTCATCCAGCAGCTCCATGGACCCCATTTTGCCATTGGAAATGTAAAGGAAGGGTCCTTGCTGATATTGGAGGCTTCTAAGGGCTCCATGTCACATCGAAATAACATGATGGAGTTCTGGAGAAGGGAAGGAGGAACTGCCCTTCCAGAGCTCTGCATGTTATTTACATGTAACACTGAGCCCTTAGAAGCTTCCAGTTTCTATAAGGATTCTTACTTAACATTTCTAATGGGGAAATGGGATCCAGGAATGAGAGGATGGCACTGCCATCCCTCCTTCTCAGGCTGCTTGAGCTGGTGGAAGCGGGATTGCTGTGGAGACTGCTCCTGAGGTCACAAATGGAAAATGTGGATCTTACAGAAATGTCTGTATCTTCGGTGGCATTTTTTAAAATCGAAATAAACGTGCATTTCCAGGTTTTTTCTGGGTTAATTTGCATGATCATGGGGAATCTTTTGGATACCTCATGATAATGTGTACCCTATACTACATTTTAATGCAGTTTAGATGGAGTCTGTGAGAGTTATGCAAACATTTATTTAAGTGGCAATTAATATGTTCTACCATGGAAGATACTATTTCAGAAAATAGTACAGGTTTTCACTGGAAGCATAACTTTTTCTATAGTGTGAAAGAAATAACTATCAAAATTATATTTGGTATACCAAACCAGACTTTATACTATGTGAGAGTCAGAAACTGTGATACGCTTCAAATACCCTCTGAAAACTCTTATTTACACAGTGTTTCCCTACTATGTAATTATCTTGACATTGTTCTTTTTATTGCTTTAATGTAAAATGCTTATTATGTTTACATTGCCTTCTATTTACATTTTAATTACTGTTATGGAGTACATTGAGTGTATATTTCATTATATTAAGTGGTATACAAGTATAAGTAAATAGCTTTCCTGGCAGCTAGCACTGTCCTCCAACATTACACTGTACACATTTATCTTTGAATGTCACCAAGTATTACCATTGAGTAGTTGTACATTTATGTATGGAAAGATATGGTAGCCTTGTTCGTAGTCTTAAATGCAGTCATTGCTTCCAATAGAATTACTAGCATGTAGATAGCACTACTACTACTACTACTACTACTACTACTACTATCATCACCACCACTACCATCATCCAGTTTCTACTTGGAACAGAATTTTAATATCAATACTCAAGTACTGATTTGGGAGGTTGTTTATGGGTTAGAAAAACAGTATCCTTTGCATTTTAATATTTTGAGATGGGGGATTGAATAGGAGGTAAGACCAATTGATATAAGTAGTAGATAAGCATGGAAATTGAAAGGTCAAGAGAATAGGATATATCAAAAGGAATCGGAATGTAATGGAAAAACATCTGTTTATTCCTTCTGACTTTTCAGTGATGCAATTGTAAACATACATATCATTTAAAAAAAGTTGATGGATTGATTGGATGTTGAAAAATTTAAATGTACATAATGAGATATATTGGAGCTGTAGCCCATATTTAAACATATAATTTATTTATGCTCCATGTACACTTTATACACATAGCCTGAAAGTAGTTTTATGCACACAATTTTAAATTTGTGCATAAAATAAAGCTTGTGTACATTGAGCTATCAGGAAGCAAAAATGTCTATCTCATCCACCCATCTGGACAATTTTGGATTCTGGAATTCTGGATAAGGGAAACTCAAACTATATTTTATCTTAGATCTAAATCAACACATTTTCTATTCCTATCTTTAAAGCAGGAACATGACCCATATACTAAAATATTTTATTCAGTTCTTAGGGCTTCATCTAATATTGCCAAAAATTTGGCTTCTGATTCAAAAATTGCATGCTTTTATTTCCTAATAATTCTCCTCCGATCCCTACTTCATGCCCCAGCTGTGCTACAGTGTGGATGGCATGACCTCAATAAAATTCCAGTTGATCGGCTCACTCTGATGCATTCATACAATGTGCTGTGTGACTGGTCTGTGAAGTGTACATCAGGCAAAGGCCCCATCACTATCCATTGCTTCATTGACAATGCGGCCTGAAGAAACAATGCCATTCTGTCCAATTTTTTGGCCTGGAGATTGTCATATACTATTTCTTATACTTCACTTCCCAGATATTCATTTGACAGGTAGAAAATGAAAGGTGAAAAGCAGTAAGTTGCCCAAGGCTACAACAGTACCCCGTGTTCGAATTTGCAATTCCTACTTGGTCAACACTGAATAAATTCTATCAAAATTCTATACAGACATTGTGTATTCTCCCCTATATAGCCATTTTAATCCAAGTCTCTCCCTGTCCTGAGTATCTTTCATGTCATCTAGTGCTACATATGAGCACACATTGGTTTTATGCCTCCCTTTCTCCTGAATTCTTTCAATTCCCCTCACATATTCCAATACTGTGGCAGAAAGTTCTAACACTACCACACAAGTGCAAAAAAAGAGGGATTTTCCCCCATCTCAGCAGCCACCCATTTCTGCTTAGGTAGATGTCATCACAAGCAATAGCAGGAGCAGCTAGCAGATCTGTCTTGTAGGACTGCTATTTGATTAATGCTTCCTGACAATTTTCTATTTGATGTCACTCGGTGTTCCTCAGCAATTCATGGACAGGTGTAGTTGCTAGACTAATCTATAACAGACTGTGTTGGGATCTGCCTATCCAGCGCTTACAAGATGATCAAACAAGAGTAATTTATGGAATACTAGTACTGTAAGAGAGAATTTCAGGAGGATAATCAAGGCAGGGTGAGTGGCACAGAGTGGACAAAGCATGGCAATATAATGCCACGCATGCTGTATCTATCAAGTCAATTACTTCCAGAAGCAATCAACATTCAAGATAATACATAAATAAAACAACGATGCGCAGAGAAAATTAGAGCCAATGGGGACTCCCTGAGGATTAGCTATAGTCCCTATGAGTTATGTATATTTTAAAAGTTTTGTTGTTTTTTGCAGCTCTGAAGGTTGGGAAAGGAATTTCCACTCTGCTGCTCTTGTATGGCTTCATAAAATAAGAAGGAACAGGGACAAAGCAAAGAAGGCTACAAACAGTGGAGCATGGTTGAAATTAGAGTCACAGTGAAAATATAGACTACATAAAGGAAGATACTTAAGTAGGCTGTGAAGAACTTCTCAAGGGAATTGTGTACCATGAGCCACTTAATGGCCAGGTAATATGGACCCATGAAGGAGGAAGTCCACAGGAGGGGCTGTGGTTTGAATGAAAATAGACCTTTTCATTGAAAGATGAAAATCCAGCAGGAGAGAAGAAATCTTATTATAGGATGAACAGGAGGGACCAGTAGGAAAGTAAATTTAATACCTGAAAGAACTTAACCTGAGGTCCCATCTACACTGCCATATCATGCAGTTTGAAACCAAATGACATGGCAGTGTAGATGAAGTCTCAAATTGTGGTGAGGATTAAGATGAAAATACAGCAAGATTCCTCCATCTGAGGGATACATTCCTGTCCAGACCATAGTTATCTGAAATTGTGGATGTGACCAAATGTCATTCAACTTGTTAAATTTGCACATCCCTGCTCATCCTCCCTGCTGTTGTCATGCCTCGGTCCTTCAAGCTGCTACTCGCAGCAGAGGAACTGAGGCAATAGCCCTTCCCACTGGCTATATACTCTATGGGGAGAGTGGGCAGAACTACTGCCTAAAAGTGTCTAATAAGCTTTCTAGAAGATTCCGAAACTGACTGCACAGGCGCAGGAAATACCATATCTGCAAATTTCACAAGTGACCATTCAAAGTAACACGGTTATAGGTAAGCAACCATTACTTCCTGCATCTGGGGGATACAATCCTAGCCAGACCATAGTTATCTGAAATTGTGGGTATGACCAAATGCTATTCAATTAGTTGACTGCAGAGCTGCATTGGACAACCTAGAGACATAGCAAGCATTTGCCATATCTTCTAATGCAGCTCTCTAGTAACTTCTGCAGGGAACATACCATATAATCATCTAAAAAACCTAGCAATATCAAATTCCATGAAAGACCATTTTTCTTCAGGTGCTGGTAAATGAAACTGTGGGTATGATTTCTGTGGTAACAGGGATCTTGCTGTACTTAATCCCATTTTAACCAGGAAGGCTACAGCTCTAAATTACATATTATAATATGCATTTCTTTTTTGAATACACATACACATGGTATGATTATTTCAAAAATAAAATTCTGCCAGGAAAAGTATTTCAAAATCTCATTACTATCATAAGATGTCTCTCCATTGACATAAACTAGGCTTGGATCAAACAAATACTAAGCACTACACAACACTGGGAGGGGTGGGAGGGAGGATGTTTTAGCCCCATTCCATGGTCATTGATGGCCCAGCCCAATGCCCCCCCCCCCAAAAAAAAACACATTCATGACTTACTGTGACTAGTCTTGAGCCCATCGTACTAATCTCAGGGATGCAGATCCGGCTCACCTTCTCATAGTAACGAATCTCATAGTCCAAGATGATGCCATTGGGCTGTTCTGGCTGAGGCCATGACAGTGTGATGCTCCTCATGGTGGCACTTACCTGGTGCATGATGGGAACTGTGGAGGGAGCTATGGAGAAAGGTGGGAACAGGAAATGCAACAAAATTAAAAAAACAACCTAAGGAAAGGAGGAAAAGAGCATTTTGAAGAGGAGGTTGAGAACAACATCAGGATGAGAGAAGGAAGAGGCGAACAATAAGGATGAAGGAGAAATAATGCTATATAAAATAATGTAGCTCAGTTCAACAGCATACAACATTTCAACATACATGCAAAATATAGCAATTGGATTATAGAAAAGTAGAACTATAGTAATTTTTTGTATTATAGTAAGCAGCATGCATACACAACGTTCCTGATCTCAGGACTGGCCCCTATCCAGAGTAAAGGGTAGTATTCTGGTACAAGGGTGTTGTTTAGAAAAGATTTTTATTCTTTACTATGTAGCTGTAGGCTATTTCGAAAAAGTGATTCTTCCTCCCCCCAACTCAAAGTCTCTGGAACCATTACAGACATTAATGGAGAAAAGTGGTCAGTGTAAAGATCTGAGCTCTCTCTGGAATTGTTATATATTGTGATGCTGCTTCTATGCCTGATGATTACCTTTCTCAATTTTCTTTCCATCTTTTGTGGTTCTTGCATAACTTAAAGTCACTTTCAACAAATGGCAACCCAAAGGTAAACCTACCACAAAGTTTTCTAAGGCTCAGAATATGTGATTTCCTAAGGTCATCCAGTGATTTTCATGGTCCAGTGGGAATTCATACTCTAGTCATATGACCTCATCATGTGGGGAGAAAATTAGCAGCATATGCCGATCTAGCCTCAGTCATCCATGGACCCAGTTGGCTCCAACAGACGATATCGTGCCATCTCCATGGGTGGAGGAGGACGGAACCGGTGTGCTGCTTTGGCAACACAAGAGGCTTCCTGTGTTGCCATTGACCTTAATGGGGGAAGCCGTGCACTTTAATGGGTGGAAAGGCCATGGGATTAGCTACCAGAGGAGCCCAGTGATACAGGACATGGGATGGTGGCTTCCCCCACGCCCCATGACGAAGTCGAGCAACATGGGCCACTTTTTGACAAAAAAGTCGTACATCTGATATTCAAACCATTACACCATGCTGGTGCCACTTTCCTTACTCTCCCCTAAATGACTGAAGATAAAGTTCTGTTTTCCCAACTCCTCGGGGCTTCATCTCTGTGTGCTTCTGGCACATTGCTGGCATGGAGCCTAACTGAGCCTTCTTGGAAGTTTGATGGGATCTGGCGGACTCTGTCCCAGCAGTGTGCTCGCAACATGCAAAGATGGGGAAAACCACCCATCTGATGAGGGCTTAAGTAAAGAGAAGCTATACAACCCTATCTGCAAATGAGTACTCAAAGGCAGGGAAAGGTTCTCACTCTATGAATCCAGCATAATTCTTTGCTGCCACATCATACTGTCTTTCAAAGAGGTTAATGCTATTCCAGGGCTGTACAAATAAAACTTTTCATGAAGTTTGTTCTTCAACAAGAAAAGGAGGCAATATTTTCTCTGAATAAACCAATGCTCTGGGGAGGGGAAAAAGATCACCAAGAGATAGAGCATGTTGTTACATGCCATCAACCTACACAATGCCTCCTTTAACTTTCATGCATCAGGATGGGGTATTTTAACCCCCAGAATTGTGCTTTGTTTCACCATTTTCACATGGTTAAATCCACAAAGTAGGCATTCTGCAGCATTGCTGTCTGCATAGATTTAAACAATTGCTCCATATTTTGGCATCTGGCCATATGCAAGTTTTTAGGGTTTTTAAAACACATGAAACAGTCCGTGTCTAAACAAATATGTTATTTTTTCCTACTGGAAACATTTTAGCATGTATGTTTCAAATAATATAATGTTGCACGCGAGTGGGGATTGTTGCATACTGATTTTTGTTGAACATGAGGCAGGAAAGTAACACATTCTGGTTGATAAAACATTGGTTTCATTTTTTTAAAAAAAATACAATTTCTGAGGAAGGGAAATTGGACACTCCTGAAAGAGTTATCATGGGGGAAAGGTGTTTCTACAGAAGTGTTATCACCAATCCTTGTTTCTACAACAAGTCATTTTTTTTCAAAATTCAATTATCACGGGGAGAGAAAGTGAGGTGAAATCTTCTAAACAGGGGCACAGAAAGCAAAACATACACCACAGGGGTGTTAACCTTTCCCTATGCCACAAGCGCGCGTACACACACACAAATGGCTGGAATTCCATAATGTTTAGGGTTAGAAGGAATGGCCAAAAACTTGTTTCTTGACTGTTGGGAAACTCTGAAAAAAAGAAACTTCACAGTTGTGTTGTGGCTTACCTCTGCCTTATATCTATTGTTAGTGACATACTGCATTATGCTACATCATACTACTGGCTCATGAAACTCAGTGGTGTCTACTCTGACTGACTTCTCCATGGCTTGAGATTGGAATTTTCCCAGGATATGACTACAACCCTTTTACAAGTGTTTGTAAGCATAAGTAGAAACATTGGATTGTCAAAGGCTTTTATGGCTGGAATCACTGGGTTGTTGTAGGTTTTTCGGGCTGAATGGCCATGTTCTAGAAGCATTCTCTCCTGATGTTTGGCCTGCATCTGTGGCAAGCATCCTAAGAGGTTTTGTGGTTTGTTGGAAACTGGGAAAATTGGGTTTATAAATCTGTGGAAGTTCCAGGGTGGGAGAAAGTACTCTTGTCTGTTGGAGCTAGGTGTGAATGTTTCAATTGGCCACCTTGATTAGCATTTGATGGCCTGACAGTGTTTAGGTGTGGCTTGTTACTGCCTGGTAAATTCCTTTGTTGAGAGGTGATTAGGTGTACCTGATTGTTTCTTGTCTGGAGTTCCCGGTGTTTGAGTTTTATTTTTTATTTACGGTTATAATTTTAGTGTTTTTTAGTATTTTTATGTTCATGGTTTCTTCCTTTGTGTTGAAATTCTCCACATGCTTGTGGATTTCAATGACATGGTGGTTGTTGGAGTGGTCCAGCATTTCTGTGTTCTCAAATAATATGCTGTGACCAGGTTGGTTCATCAGGTGCTCTGGTATGGCTGACTTCTCTGGTTGAAGTAGTCTGCGGTGCCTTTCATGTTCCTTGATTCGTGTTTGGACGCTGCATTTGGTGGTCCCTATAAACTTGTCCACAGCTGCATGGTATATGGTAACTCCTGCAGAGGTGAGAGGATCCCTCTTGTCCTTTGCTGAACATAGCATTTGTTGGATTTCCTCAGTGGGTCTGTAGATCGTTTGTACGTTGTGTTTTCTCATCAGCTTCCCTATGTGGTCAGTGGTTCCCTTGATATATGGCAAGAACTCTTTTCCTCTTTTTTAAAAAACAGGCATGATATTATATGATTTTCTGAACAACCACTCTTGGCAATTGTTGAGAATGAATATCTTCTAGTCCATTTGGAGCCACGGGTTTTGTTACTTTACATTTGTATAAGGAAGGACCATGTGGAACAATCACCTTCTGCCTTTATTTTTTAATCCCTGTTGTGAATGGGAGTTCACACAGATACAAGACAATGTAAGTTCTGCTTCATTAAATGAGTTAATTTCCTGCCTAGTCCTCCTGGGACATCAAAGTGTCTCATTTTAAAGCCCACTGAAGTATGACCTGAGGGCTCCCCAGGGACTAACCATGAGAATCTTCTAAATGCTCTATTACCCATTATTCCGCAGTCGCTGTTCATGATAAACAGCATTCCCAGTTTAATGGCAGATACATCAATGCCACTTTTCTAATAATAATTCATAAAAGTAATCCTCTATACAAAAAAAATGATATCTTAAACTTGCTATCGCTCAAAATATGTTCATAGAATTTATAGTTGTCATAGGATTCACAATTAAAAAACCTTGAGACTATGGACCCATCATATGGACCCCCCCCCCTTCCTGTTCCATTTTGCCAGCAATTGCAACAAGGAGTTGGCACCCTGTTCCTGTCCTCATCAAATGGGGAAAGGGCCAAAAAATATGGGTAGCTCAGTTGTAGCTACCCAAAACACAGCTTACCTTTCATTATTGGGGAGAAAACATCTTGCAATGCTTTCTCTCCATTTTGGCCATCAATGGGGCGAGGCCACGGCCTGCGTCATGTGATGGCACTTGGCAGGCCCCATCCCTGAAGAGGAGCAAGAAGCCCACATTCCCTAGTGTGATGAGGTGGCATGTAAGAGTCACTTGACATGTTGACATGAAAAGGATATTAAAAGCCATCCTATCTGAGTGTTCCCTGCCTGTAAGATGGAAATTTTTGAACACACTAGTAGACTGAGATACTCAAAAGAGGGCAACCATTGTGAAGCAATATGAATACATATAAACAAACTAGAGCTGTCTGGAAAAGTATGAACATACCCATCCCATTCAGTATGACACACGTTTAATGTTGAATAGAGCTTTGGCACTAAACCCCTGTGTAAGTCATTTCCAATCAAGCATCTGAACTAAAATAGCCATGACCTGACACTAAGGGTGTAACCATATGTCATAGAGGTTACATTCTGGTTGTATTTCTGATTTAAAATGCAGAATGCATTAAACTGTTTCATAACAGCAGGAAATGAGTTCTTAGATCTGTGCAACCTCTTCTCATGACTTTTTTTCTCTGGCCCAGGTTCCAAGATTATCTTAGCATAAAGAGTTTTGAACAAGGTTTAAGGAAGCTCTCCTGCTGAATTTCAACTTGGAATTAGAACTGTTGCTGTTCGAGAAATAACCTGACATTAATTTGATTGTATTTGAACAGTTAAAGTTTTAGTACATACATAGTACTTTTTAAGCAAAACTTGAGGCACAGGCCCGTAGCCAGGATTTCGATTTGGGGGGGGGGGTTCAGGGGGGGTTTTGGGGGGCTGAGTCTGAGTGAAAGAGGGTCTACCCTAGCAAACCTTTTGTATCATTACCCCAATACCCCCATGCATATGGGATATATCGAGCATGGTGATCAGATCATGATAGGAATAAACATAACAGTTTAAATAATGCACCAGTAAGGCCTTTTTGCGAACCACCATGAGAATTTCGGGGGGG